TTAAATTTAATTTGGTCGAATTTTACTTTAGATAGTTGGTATCATAGTCATTGATTTGACAGTTAATGTCAAAATCGATTCGCCATGCCGTCCTTAATTTACTTATTTACAATAAGCGGCTGTTAATGTTAAAGAAGAAAAAATGATTTTCTTTGGTGTTAAACAAAATTTATTGTCAGTACTAGAAAAATCATGAAAATATTATAACCAATATGCAAAATATTATGCTGTTTAAAGTATAGCCGACCTATAAAATCAAAATTTTGTGTGGGATAAAGTATCTCATTACAGCACCGAAAGCGGTGTTATAATGAAGTTATTATGAACCCTAAATAGATAAAGGTAATATTATGTTAATTTTTAACAAATTATTTCGTTGAATAATATCAACGCATCAACAAGTTCAACTGACTTCAGCGTCTGCAACTTATGTTACTTTATTCTAATTCGTAACGTGTTCGTAACAACTGTCCAGAGTGTGTATAATAAATTACCAGAAATCTTTTATTATTGTTATTCAGATTACTTATACCTATTTAACGAGTGTGCAAAGTGCGAAGTATCCGAAAAAAGATGCCATCACTGGTTTTCGAACTGAAATTAGGGGATACAGTGAAGTGGGTTAAAGTTACGAAATACTTCAGTAATTGTTGTGGTAGTACGTACTAATAATTATATTGTACCAAATTTCTTTATAATTTAATAATTTCAGAATGGTGTGTTATTTAATTATGTGTATGTTATTTTTATGCTCATTTAGATGTTAATTTTTTGTTTAGGAAATTGATTAATAAAGCAACGTTTCCTATCAAAATATTTTTTATTTAAGTTCCCATTTTCAACAAAATACTTTTATCTACTCCTACATTGACGAGCTGTGACTTTATGGCGTTTTAGTCACGGTCTGAAGTTAGCAATAGTGGCTTTTGGGCATTTTAGTCACGGGCTGAAGTTAGCTTTATTATAAATTAGAGAAAAGTGAGGTTAATTCCTTTGACATTTGACAAATGTCAAATGTTTAACAAATGTCAAATGTTTAACAAATAAAATTGGATTTAAATTCTTCTTTGTGGTCGTCGTAGATAAAGTATAGTATGCAACTCGTTTTATAAACTTATCTAGACACTCGTTTTTATTAAACACTCGCTTGCAAGCTTCGCTCGTGCTTAATAAAACTAGCTACGAGTTTATAAAACTTGATACATAATATACTATTGTAATTGGGTCCACAAAAACGTTTGTAAAAATAAGGTCCTCTTTAAAAAATACAAGAATTATTGTTGTATTATTGATGTATACATCCTATAGGATTTTGATATTAAATCTACAAATTGTTTCTTATAACAACAAACTACTTATTCAATTAAACAAATATTATAAATATTCCCAAACAGCTAAAGGCATTAGTCATTAAGCACTTTGTGTTTTGTTTAGCTGTTCAGTTATAAAATCTGGTTGATAATTGATTAAAATTAACAAGTATATTTTTTTACTTAACTTTTAAAGATGGATTTTGGTGATGTTTTCCCCAGTCTCTACAGCATACAAGCTACACTTATAAAAAAGCTTTTTCGGATAACATTTCTTCCTAACATCGGCCTGTTTCTTTTATCGCCTTCCTAATGCCCTTAATGGTATCTAGATAAGTGAGCCTGATTTAACAGGGCTAACGCAAAATCAGCATCCAGTACTGAACCATTTGCAACGCATAATATTAATATTAATAAATAATAATAATAATGTTTATTTGATCAAGTTACATATTTTTGACAAATATTACATATAAATATAAATAGGTATATAACACAAAAATTTAAAATCTAAAAGATTAAAAACATTACATTAGAAATACTAAAAAATAATATAATACAGGGTTATACAGGGTAGCACAACACATTTTTAAAATTTACTGTTTAGAAACTCTTCTACTGAGTAAAAACAATGTTTTAAAAGAAATTATTTAACTATTATTTTTTAAGTTGTCTGATAAATGATTATACAAATTACAATTTACAGTATTTTTTTAGATTTGTCAGGCCTTAATAATAATTTCTAGTTTTGTAGTCATGAAAAAGGGGTTAGGTATATAGCGAGGTAGGCATCACGTTCACAAATGAAGTTCTTAGATTCCACAATAAATTCACCCTTTACCTAGTCTTCATATCGTTTTAAAAACTTTAACTTGTTGTTGTATGTATACCTCCTTTGTTTTTCTATTAAAATTTGATAAATATCCCTTCTTTATATTTTTGACTGCATCAACTAATATATCCTCCTCTAAATATGGATAACTTTTTTCAATCTCTGTTCTAAAGAGCACCCACTTCTAAACAGTCAATTTTACCATTTCTGCCATAATAAAATACTAGTCAGGGGACATGCATTAATTACGTTAGGCATTTTTCTGATAATTTTTTTATTTTTTTTTAACAAATTTGAATTATAATACAATTTTTTTAAACTCAAAAGTTGACGTGAGAATTTAAATTGGAGATGTTTGTAAGCAGGTAGCAGATTGTTATAGTAGGTATATTATATTTCAAGTTTGATAAACGCCATTTTAGTGTGTCTAGAAAAGTTTATAAACGAGCATATTATAATTTTTCCATGAGAAATACTTAATATTATCTAAAAATTATTTAAATTAAATATTTGCATTAAGCGACATCTATAAAACAATAGAGTAACCTTGGTAATGTGTTATAATGTCAAATGTCAAATTTTGATGTGAAAATCTAAATGTATTCCTTGAAAATAGACCGTTATAAAGCAGTTTTTCACAGTGAAAGTAAAGAAAATGTTTTATTGTCACATAGTGGAGTCTCCATCCGAAATGAAGTTAAATATAGTTTACTGCCGGCGAAATTAAAAGGTCAGTACTTAAACTTTTCAAACATTACCGTTGATAAACTATTTAATGCTTTTGTATTTTTGTATGAAGATAATAAAATAATTTTTGCATTTAGTATTATTTTACAAGGGCACTTTATTTTACCGATTATATGACATTTGACAACTGTCAACTAACTTAAAGCTAACTTTAGTCCGTGATTAAAACCTGTTGTCAACTTCAGCCCGTGACTAAAACGCCATTGTGAAAGCTTGTCAAGTGTATTTAAAAGATCAATAACACTGTAGGGTGGTGAAAATATCACAGCTAAACGCTCGGACACGTAAACTTAATTTTTGGTCGTAGATTACAAATCCGTGCTTGGTTTAGCTGTATCAGGTCAAAATTCAAAGATATTGGAAAAACCTGTATAAATTTAAACACCCTGTATAAATTAAAAAAAAATCAATTTGGCTGGACCCACACATTAGTTCCAAATTTAGAAAAAAGCAAATTCTTGCAAAATTTGAAGTTAATTGATCAAAAGGAACACGTGTCCCTAAGGGTTTTTTTAATAATTTAGGAAATTCAAAATGTTTTTTTGCTAATTTTTTCTTATTGAGTATAATTGAGGATATTATATTAATTGAAATAAAAATCATAAAAATGTTGGCACAAGAGGTGAAATATATTATTTTACAAATTATAATATACCAGTAATACTGGTCCAGTATACAGTGTGTTCCGGATCGGATTTCCGACAGAAAAAACTTTTTAAGACCTGATACAACTAAACCGATCACAGATTTGGAATCTACGACCAAAAATTATGTTTACGTGTCCGAGCTTTTAGGTGTGATATTTCAAAAGTTGAAAATATACCTACAGTGTAATAAGACCAATATGTGTGTGATAAAATTATCCGAGATCAACAAACATTACATTATTATATTACTAAACAAGTATTATTTAAAATTAAAGGGGGTTCAGATTATGAATGCACATTTACATATAGGTATTTAATGCCGGTTTTACACCAAACCGACAAAACAGCAATTCGAGTTGAAAAAAACAAAATCTCAACTTTTTGCAGATTTTTTGAAGATTTTTTGGCAACTCAACAGTTGCTGTTGTGTTTTTCGTTTCCCGATCGATGTCGGTAACTTCAAAGAGTTGCTGCGTTTTTTGCAACTCAGTCGGCTTGGTGTAAACGTCTGTTATCAACTTGAGTTGATAAGAAGAACGTAATTCGCCACTTAACCCTATGTCGTCCTTTTGTAAATCCATTAACATCTTTGCACCACCATCATATTTCCTTCTATTTAATAAGGATCTCACCCAATACCTGCGTGTACGACGTTTTCTTTTTTTTTCTAAATCATGTACCAACAGCCAACCGCACACGAGAAAAAAAAGCGTTCCTCGTCACTATCCATGTTAATTTTTTTTAAATAAATAATATAAAATAATGAACAACCATCTACTTTCTGAATAGAACTAAACAAAACTGCAACTGTTTCTCTGATGTAAAACGACAAAAAACAAAAACTCGACAGCAACTAATTTTTGTCTGTTTAGTGTGAACAGTTTTATCGTTAAAAACAGTTGAGTTTTTGTTTTTTAAAACAGCAACAAAACAGCAACTCAACTAGTCGGTTTGGTGTAAAACCGGCATAAGAATGTAATTAAACCTTAAAAGGCTGATTCTCTCATATTTGATAAAATATTTGTTTGTCTATGCATGTCTAGCATCTTGCACGTAAAAAATTAAAACAAGGAAACCACATAAAAGTGACAGGAAATTATGAAAAAATAATGATTTTACTTGTAACCATAAAAATATTTCAAAATCAAATCAATATTCAATTAGTGCATTACACATTAAAATCTCATTTTTTTACCGAAATCTTACCCAATGGACTGTCTAAGAGCAAGCAATTCGAAGTAATGTTCACTTAATGATAATAAAGAAAGACGAGAATTCAAGAGAGAGGTGATTATCGAATCATTTAAAGATGCGGTGTATATAATATTGTAGTGATGCGACCTTGCCTCCGAAATAATCCAATTTTGCAACACCCGAAAAGATGGAACAATTTTTTTAAGTAGGGGTTCGACCCGACTATAAAACTCTTCGGCTGAATTTTTATTTTATCACACAAAGATCATTTATTTATACACAAACAACATGAAACAAGTAAGTACATATTTATTTTTAGTAATTTTATCAAACATGTTTTTTATTTAAATTTGCAATATTAAGGGTTCATAGTGTTTTGTCCTAATAATTGCGGTTCAATTAATAAAATCATATCATATTTTTGTTTAAAAAGTCAAAATGCATTTTTCATCCTTAATCCTGAGACCCTGTGTAATGATTTATTTACTTGCATTATTACTTTAGATTTTAATTAAAATAGTAATTAAGTTATTAATGCATCTTAATGACATCATAATTAATACTGACTTAATAAACTAATCATTAAATCCATATTAATAATTTTCATTAAAAACTTAACTTCAATGTAATTCCATAATTTCATAACATTTTATTTCAAAACGTACCTTTTTCTGAATAAAATTTTAATTATGCTTTTTTATCAAAGTTTTAATACCTAAGAAAATCTATTATCAAACAAATTTGCCACTTTATTTAAGTAATATTTATTTAAACAATAGAATTTGTAGATATAATACATTATATCGTTACTTAATATTTTGTTTTATAGAAAGTAACCTATAAAATAATATCATTTATTTTTAATCACGATTTTTAAAGTCTGTTTGGTATACATTTGTGTATTTTTTTATTTGAAGAGCTACAAGATCGGTAATACCAAAGAAAAGTTGCTTAATTACTAGCCTATTAAAATAAAATTTAAAAAACCTGTCAAAACCAAAAATTGATACTATCTTAGAATTTTGAAATAATAGTAGGTATATTAAAGAACTAATGTCATAAGACGTCATTTTGTCGCAAGTGGACAATTTATAAAACGAGCGACGAAGGAGCGAGTTTTGAAATGGACGACAATATTGGATAACAATTTTTGATACCTAATAGTATATTAAATATATTAAATATTTGATACCTAATAGTATATTAAAAAACTAATGTCATAAGACGTAATTTTGTGAAGGTCTTATGACATGAGTTCTTTATGCTATTTTATGTATTTTGCAAAAATTCTATAAAAAAAAATATTTTTAAACCTTATATTTATGTTGGTCGAATTTTACTTTGGATAGTTGGTATCAGTCATTGGTTTGACATTTAATGTCAAAATCTATTCGCCATGCCGTCCTTAATTTACTTATTTACAATAAGCGGCTGTTAATCTTAAAGAAGAAAAAAAGGATTTTCTTCGGTTAAACAAAATTTATTGCCAGAAACATTTTCATCAAATTTCTTCGCTACTATATTTTGAGTTACCATCAGCATCTTTTGTTGTTATTATGTAAGTTTAATACATCGTTAATAACGATTCGTTATATTCAAATATGGCGGCCATTGGAAAAACAAAAGATGTTATAGGTAATAAAAATCCAGTAGGCAAAATAATTACAAATTTGATGAAACTGGAGATACAAAAATTTCCAGGAATAACGACCATAAAACGATTTTTGGTTTTGACAGGTTTCTAGATTTTTTCAAATTATTTGAGGAGTGCTGATTTTTTTTCCAAATGCCATTTTAATAGACTTGTAATTACGCAACTTTTCTCTAATTTAACTGACTTTATAGCTCCTCAAATAAAAAAGATGCTCATATATATAAAATCTAAAACATTTTTTAGGTTATCCTGACTTTGGCCCTCTTCGGCTTAGCCGCCGCCGGTAGCCTAGGCAACAAATACATCCCAGCCAATCAGGGATACCAGGCCAACGCCAACTCCGGTTACCCTGCCTCCGGAGCCGCCGCCGGCGCCTACTCTGGCGCTTACGCTGGCGCCCAGGGTTCAGGTTCGAATCCCGCCGACGCTTCTGCACCAATCTTGCGCATGGACAGCGAAATCGACGAAAATTCCTACAGATATGCCTACGAGACTGGTAACTCGATTGCTGCTGAAGAACAAGGTAAGAATTACGAGATTTATGAAGAAAAAAAAAATTTGAAAATCATAAAATATTAATTAAATCAATTATAGTTCCGAATGTTAAGATCAATATTATCAAGCTATTCTGGAATAGCTAAATCCACAAATGTTTCTAATTTTCATCAAAAAGCATTTTTTCTTTAAAAGATATATCAAAATCCTAAAAACGTTTTTAAGTTTTGGGTTAAACTAAAGAAAAATAATACCAAAATGATTACATTTTTACAAAATTGTGATGTTGGCCAAAGTATGCACTTGCCATTTCACTTTTAAAGTTCTATAAAGAATAATTATTCAAAAGTAAATAGGTATTGTTTATATTAGAATAATCAGGCTTATTAATAGCAACAAACTATTAAAAACCATTAAGAATTAAAAAGTAAAGAAATATTGCGCGATTATTTAGAACCAATTTTATTATTTTTAAGAATATTTATACTTTACTCATAAAAATAATGGTAAAATAATTCTACGTTATTTTATATAGTTAAATTTTATGTATGTAATCATACGCTATGAAATAATTCTGGAACAAATTCAGAAACAACTTATCTACAATAAAAATAATATGGTATAGTATATAGTAAGGCTGGGAATCGATTACGAATAATTCAAGTATTCGAATAGAGGTGAAATTCAAACATTCGAGTATTCGAGTATTTGATTATAAAATGAATTAGGTAAAAATAACTAATTATAAGTCATATTTGACTAATTGTCAAAAAGCGAAAAAGCAGTCACTAAAAATTAGTCAAAGTCTACCGAATGAAATTTAAAAAATTTCTAACCTAGCCGGGGTTTGAACTCGGGTCTGTCGCTTTTCAAGCGGATGTCATAACCAATGAGCCATCAGTCACTTTTATAAAAACAGTTTTATCTGTCTATAAATATTGTTCATAATATTTTAAAGTTGAATATATTTTTAGTGTTGCTGTTTTGAGCTAAACCTTTTACATATTTGTTTGTTTTTAAGGGTCATTTAACCATGGAGCCTATATGCATTAGTTACTTTAAACTCTCAGAAATAGTCAAAGATGGTGACTTATCTTAAATTAGTCAAACTTTAACTATTTAAGAAGTTAAAAATAACTATTTAAAAGTGAAAACGACTATTTTATTAGTAAAAAATGCTGGCACTAATTGAAATAGTAGAATTTTGACTATTTCATTTTAAGAGAGCAAGTATTGAAATATTCGATTTTTCTGTTTTTCAAGTCTAAGCATGGGTATCTAGTTTATCTTTAGAGAGACATAGTTGGTTAAATTAGGAAAACAGTTTTGCAATTTTCCTTTGATCAATGATCCTAAAAGAAATTTGAGTTACCATTTTTATTTTCTGGATATCGTAAAGACGAGAATTTGTATTCTTTAATTATAATTCAGACATTATTAAGGCAATTTTTTAGGGTGAATTTAAATTTGCCAAAATATTTTTGCTAGCTTTAAAAACTGCCGAGATCAACTTAGACTCGAAAAAAACTATAAAAAGTTTTAATTAAACCACCAAACCTCGCAACAATATTCGTCATCGCCAGTGAAATAAAAACGAGTTATTTATTAATTCTTTAAATATTTAATAGCAAAAAAATCATAATAAACGTATTATTCTACTAATATTAAGTTTTAAATTTGATTATTTAAAGTACTTTAACGTTTGAATATCCAAATATTTAAAAAATCGAATATTTGAGTTTTAATTCGAGTATTCGAATAATTCGAGTATTCGAATAATTCGAGTATTCAATTAATTCGAGTATTCGATTAATTCGAGTATTCGAATAATTCGACTATTCCAATTATAATTCAAAGGAGTATTCAAATTTTTTAACCTGACTATTTCCCTCGTCTTAATTTCCACCAATTACAAACGCGCAATTTTGAATTACAAATGGTTTCTAGGAGGAAAAACTGTATAACAGCACCCTTTTTTCGAGTTTACCCGCGGCAAAACTTGACAGCAGTTGTCAACAAAAATTGCAATTTATATTTTAATTGTACCATAAATAATTAAGTTTTTGGTATTTAGTGATTAAATAAATTACCTATTTTTCAGTTTTCAAATTAATACCTACCTACATATTTATTATTTGTGCATGTATAATAGGTAGTATGTTTTGTAAGCTATGTGTATGCAGAATAACTGTTACTGAAATAGTCTTGTCAAATACCATTCGGGTATCTAATTTTTCCTGTGAAAAAAATCGAAAAAACACATGTTAAGTAATATTTTTTAACAAAATGCATTCGTGCAGGTGCAAAAATCCTCGTCTTTGACTCGTATTTTTGTTGCCACCAGCACTCATGCTTCTTGTTAAAATATTACTTAGCAACGTGTTTTTTCGATTTTTTTCGGAAAAATTAGAATCCCTTATGATATTACTTACGAAAAATTCCTAGCCTTATTATATAGTAAAAAACACCTGAAAATAACATTTTTTAAGGTCGTGATGCTGGAGACGGCAACACCGCCCAAGGTTCCTTCTCTTACACCGCCCCTGACGGTCAACAGATCTCCGTCCACTACAACGCCGACCAGGGCGGTTTCCAGCCCCAAGGCGCCCACATCCCGACCTCCCCACCAATCCCGGCCGAAATCTTGAAGGCTTTGGAACAAAACGCTGCCGACGAAGCCGCCGGCATCGTCGATGACGGTCAATACAGGGCCGAACACCAAGGCGAGGGTGCCAAGGGCGCTTTCCAAGGCTACCAGAGCCAGGGCGGTTACCAGAACCAAGGGAACAAAAACAACGGCTACAAATACTAAGCGGTGATACTTGATTTTTATGTAGATTATATTTTTTTACCGAATAAATTATTTTTTATATAAATTTTATATTGTTGTTTTTTTAAGTCTGGCAATACTGTCCGATTTTGAATAATATTTATATTATCTTATATCAGGTGATGAGCGAGTTTTAACAAATTATAACAGAAGAAATATAAAATCTTGATAATTATAATAAATTATTTTTATATAGGTACATTTTTTTATTTAAAATCTGAGACATTTGGTACTATACAGTATGTCCACAGATTGTCTTAACTATACTTGTAAAAATATTTATTTTTAATTTTTTGAGGAAGTCATTTTTCATAATTTCTTTTTCTGGTTATATAAATACGATTCGCGTTGAGAAACATCCATTTTGTTGTAGAGGGTGAGCAAAAATACGGATTTTTAAATTAAAATAATATAAAGAGCTGGTAAGGAAAAATCAAAAAGTCAAATGAAGTTTTTTCATATGAGTTTTTGATACTAAGATATTTGATATTGAAAATTTAAGATATTAGTTTTAAAATTTTAGCAAATAATTATAGACATTGTAGACATGTCAGTTAAAAGCAACAACCTTGGTTCATAATCACAAAATGAGATAACAGTCAATTTCTACAAAATAATTAATAACAAATATCTTAATACCAAATATCTTAGTAACAGCTCACATGAAAATTTTATTTGGCTTTTTGGTTTCTCCTTTATATAAGACCTTAAAATTAACAATTTTTAAATTTGCAAAATGTACAATTATATTTTTTTGCGCACCCTGTATAACAAAATAAAAGTTTCTCATCGTGAATAAAATTTATTTATTTAACAAGCAGACAAAATTATGAGAAGTGAATTTTTCTCGAAAAATTGAAAAAAATATTTTACAAGTAAAGTTAAGTCCATCCATGGACACACTGCATATCAATATACTTGAGTATTTTTTGTATTTAAAATGCAAAATGCCTTAATTTTAATTTGTCATTTTTATTTAAATGTGAAAATTATAATTAACAATGCCAAATAGCTAATACAATTAATTTGTGCTGCGTAAATCCACTAAATTAGTTTCTTTACTCAATGCAGCTAATCATAAATTTAAGGTCCCAGGAATTTTCCAACTAAACCCCCAAATTATTGGCGTAAAATTCCGAATAAAACCTGTATAGTCGCGGATAAATCTGCATGGGTGCACGTATGTAATTAACGGCATATGACGTCAGCGTTAAGGTCCATACGTGTCCGGGGCCTGGACTCCAGGCACAATCTAACGCATGTGTATTTTTGACTGTTTATAGCGGTGGGGGCTGTTTATTAAGATGGAATTATAACATCATTGTTATATATATATATTATTATATATTATAATCTTCTACACTAACCAATTAGAAGTTTGTTACGGCCAAATTTTGAATAAATGTATTTAGAGAGGAAACACATTTTTATTAGATATGTATGTACATAATAGAAAAATACAAAATTACCAAAAACACAAATTTATTATTAAGGGCGCAATGTCTTCGCAATCTAATTGCTGTTGGCATTGCCAACAAGCCTTCTAACAATGTTTGCACAATCCAGTGGTAGATATATATAAAAATATTTAATCCGCAAAACAATGCTTACGGACAAATGTCAAAATTACAAAAAAAAAACGTCAAATATAAAATGACGGTGACCCAACAAAATTATTGAACGGTGTGCGCCAGCCTTAAGCTATTAGCAACTGACACACACAAAAATTACCAAGTGAATGGTTTCATAGTTTCGTGAAAAGGTTTTTAAACAGGAAAATTGTTACAGTTCTTGGTAAGCAATAAGCAAATGAATAATATTTTTTTAAAACACATCTGCATTAAGCCTTAAAAAAAGCAAATTTAACTGCAGTAACTGAACAATTCAAAGTTGGTAATGCTGACGTTATTATATCGCATTGATAACGTGCACCCATACATATTTGGCCGCGACTATACCTTTTATATTTTTGTATTATTTTAAAATTTGGCAACACTTTCCGATTTTGAATATCTTATATAACTATAAAACTTAAGGCTTTTTTAAAATTATTCTAAACTATAAGGTAAACCACATAGTTATTGGACACTTAATATTATTTATTTAAAATTTATATATGCCGTTGTTTTAAAGATTTTAGTTTTTTTCTTATAAATATATAAAAAGGATAGTTTGTTTGTTTAAACTTTATTTACGTTTACTTAAAAATAAGAATATTTGAATTTTTAATAATAGTTTTATAAACACATGGAAAAAAGTAAAGTAATTGGACATTTTATATAGTAATTGGACACATGGACCAAAGTTATTGGACATACAATTTTTATATAAACATAACAACTTTACATCAAATAACATAAATTGTTAAATATTTTTTAAAGATAAGTTGCTGTTTTAGGTAATTTTTTTTATTTCATTTTTGTAAATATCATATAATTCATATATTTCTTTCTCGAATTCCTCATCCCTTTTCTGGATTCTGAAGGTAACTACTAATTCCTTGGTGTGGTATCTCTGGTTTGTGAAGCAATTATAATGTTTATTCCGGAACAGGATGATTTATATATATATCTAATATTTTTTCGGGTGGTAGGTTAAAAGTATTTTTCAAATTTATTAATTTTGTTGCCATTAGTTATATATGTTCTCTATCATGCACTGTATTTAAATCACTGTTTTTCTGGAAAATAAATTAGTCAAAAATGTCATAGCGAAAAAGCAGCCACTAATAATTCTCGTCAACAGCAATTTGTATTCAGGACATTAAGGAGTCAATTCCTTTAAAATATTATTCGCTGAATCCGAAAATGTCCTGAAAAGTTATAAAAGTATAACAGTTTTTGAAATATAATCAATTTTACATATAATATGGAATTTACTATATCTCAAAAACTGCTTAACTTTTATAGTTTTTGACGGTATTTTCGGATTCAGGGGACAATTTTACATAAGAATTGGTTGGTAAATATCAGGGATATAAATAGAGTATAATATTGGACATATATGTCCAATAATAGAAATTTACATTTTTTACCAACCAGTAATTGGACACTAGCCATTTTACTGTTTTTATTTCAGAATTAAAACGCATTAAATTGACAATGTTTAAACCATGAGGGACACATTTATACCATACACTGATCTGTACACTTTTAAGAAATATTTTTTATCGCAATTTAAACACAGCCCTGCTCTTAACAAAAAAACAAAAATCTTACCACCAAAGTTACGTCCTATCTTGGACCCAAAATAAAGTAGTTCCATATTATTACCGTCTGAGATAGTTATAATAGTATACAGCGTCATTTAATGATTTGACTTTAAGGTAACTATTAATAGAACTTTTACAGTATTAATGTTAATTGTCCAATAACTTTAAAGTGTCCGATAGGTAACTGTCTACTTTACATTTCATAAGTAACATTATCCATAAAGAAATTTGCATTGCAAACACAACCTAAATTTGATCTAATCAGTTCATGAACACTGTTTATAAACCAAGCTTTAGGAGATTCCTTGAGCGTGGAGTTTGACAGGAATTTAAAGCCAATTTTATTTGATATTTTGTCTGACATCTGAAAACTGCCAAGCAGTTTTAACCTTATTTTTTTTTTAATTTTTACTTTATAATTTAAAATTGTTCTAAACATCGTGGTAGAAAAAAATGATATATGGTAAAAGTGCCCACCTTACTGAACTTAAATGACAGCAAATATCAAAGATTTCAGAATTTCAAACATAATTTGGTCGTCCTTGTGTGATTCTGTAAATAGCAAAGATACAATGACCATTTTTAGTTTAACTGTAAAAATGACAAGAATAGTGATAACCGGAAGTAAGGTTAGTTGTCCATAGAGGCAGTTTTAGATTTTGATGTCAAGGGAAATTATGTGTCGTTTCGAAATTCCGTTTCCTCATTGTACATCCCTTTGGTTTATAATGTTTAGGCTAAGTTTTACATTGACATATCATCATTTAGGTTTTTTTTTAACTTTTAATCAAATTATCATTATTAGTATCAAGTTCAAGTTCACGACCATATTGATTTGAAGCCAGTAAATTTTACAGCATTCTCCGCTAGTATACATACGGTACGATTTAACTTGCATAACAGCTTGGTAATAAATAATTAACCCAATTATTTAGTCGTGAAATATCTGGAGATGAACCCAAGATATTATTTATTACTTTCATTAAAAATTTACTGTATGTGTATACTTACACTTATTAACTACCGATGTCTTGAAATGGACAAATACACTTAATATGCAAAATCTTTGCAATTAGTTTGCATCTGATGAAATCATACTTATAATAATAAATGTTTAAAAAACCTATTTTGCTAAATTTATGTTAAATTATATTTTAAAATCTTCCTAATTGATAATATAATTGGTTTTATTGTAGTCTGCAGGATTTTTAATTAAATAAATAAACATGTTTCTACACTCTACTTAAAAAACTTCAATTAATCAATCATCAATCAATGATTTTGTATGTATTCAAATAATAATATTTAATATAGAATTAATTTTATAAATAATTTAATATTTTGTATAAATTAAAAAAAATATTTTTAAAGAATTTTTCTAAAGACAGTAACGAATTTTTTTGACAGAAATACTATATATGATCCGGTAAGAACAAGTTAAAGACGCAAAAAAGTTATATTTTACCTTATATATATATATATATATATATATATATATATATATATATATATATATATATATATATATATATATATATATATATATCTTTTACTAGGGGTATAGTGTCAAAAAAATAACATAAAAGTCTCTAATTGTATCTCCTCCATATTTCTACACAGTACCTAAAAAAATATGTGTTAATTTTAACCAAATATTAACCAGATTTTATGTTAATCCAGGTCAACATAACTTTATGTTAAATTTACAACCAACTGTAATCTGTTAATTAATTGAATAAGTACTTAGTTTGTAACAAACATATTGTAAATTTAATTACAAAATCCTATGTCAATAATTCAACCATAATTCTTGTAA